ACGGTGAGAAAATTAATCACTCATATTGGAATCAAATGCGAAGTCACGATTTTTTACATTTGGTTGAATGGATATGGAATATGTATTGAATCGTATTCTAATCAATGTCACATTGTTGGACAATGCACGTGCTCAGCCGATATAAATGAATCTTATTTTGATCAAACATATTTTTTTCTCAAATTAATATCTAACCAAATAAGATTTTTTGCTTGTCACTTTGTCCAGAGATGGATGTTATATTGGCACAATTTCTGAAGTTGAATGGAGTAAGCGAGAAAAACTTACGAGAAGAAATGAAAAAGTGTACTTCGTAAAGTACTTTCCAAAATTCCAGCAATTCAAAAGAATTTTCCAGAGCCTATTTAGCGCGCGCATTTTACAATGTACATTAATGACTCATTTAATAATGAGACCCAAAGAATTCCTATAACAAGAAATCCATTCTTCTATTCATACAAATCTGGGAAGGTAATTACGACCTCAGCCATTCAATGCAAAAGTTGATCTGCTTATAAACCTAGCGAGAAGTATTGTTCATTGGAATATTCAAATAGCATCAAAAACGAAATTTTGATTACACCCAATTTTTTGGAAAATGTGAAAACAATTATTCGATTTTTTCAAGTGCAAAATAAATTGTTTATTTTTCGGATATTACATGAGAAAAGATATATACAAAGATCAGAGTAAAAACACAGTTAGACGCTTAAGAATAAATTCAAAACTTTCTCAACCCAAAAAAAAATCAAAGAAATACCCTTCACGTTCGCAATGCTAATTGATTTATTTCTTACAAAAAACCAAAGTAAATCCAACATAATACCCTCCGAAAAAATGCTTATGTCGGATCAATCTGATATTGTGACAATAAATTGCTTGATTGATGTTTAATGTACAATTAAATTGCACTAAAGTTACTAAATTACATTTAAAAATCGATCAATTTCCATTACCATTAAATGTTAATTCAGTTGTAAAGAAGGTCTGGTGCAGGATGGACGGTGACTGAGAAGGTGAAATATATAAATGCGCTTCGTTATATCAGTATATAAGTACAATTGAATTCATTCGATTTTCATCATCGCCATTGTCATTATTGACGACAGTTGAATGTTTGTTCGCAACATTACAGTAATTTTTACTTGCCATACAATGCCACTCCATTTAATCTACGAAGCAAAGTATCGGCTTTTGCAGAAAACAGCATACATTGAATTGACGTGACATGCTACAACCAAACAAAAAAATCATAAATTTATATGACATTAATTGTGAAATCATAGAAACTTTGTAAACCATTGCAGAAAAAGAAACGACCAAACATGTGCACTGATGCTAATTTAAAAAAAAAAATCCCATAGCTAAATTACATCTGAAGTGATTTATAAGAAATGTCGGTGATTTATTGAAAATATAACAAAACGAATCTCTCTGTGTACTACTTTTTATGACGGCTCGACCAAATTATACATACGATTTTATTGAATGCTAATGTAAATTGAACGGAAAAATAAATTTGGTAAACGGCATCGGAACGATGAACATGACTTTATGCATATTTCGACATAAATTCGTTGTGTTCGTAATTGAAAGGAACAAACAATCGAACGAATGATTGAATTTCAATTATTGTATTTTGAGCGCGATTCAATTGTGTGTCTATTTTGAAAAGTTCAGAAAAGTTATTTTCAACGTACCACACACGGTCTTCATCTCGTATATTATATTTTATTCGATTTACCTGAATATTCACGAATCAGCTTGGCTTGTGATATGTAAGCCAGAGAATTATATATTTGGCGTTAACATCTCAATAAATATATGCAGTTATGCACGGCACGTAATCTATTTAAAATAAATGTGTTCAATAAGGTACCAAAAACACTAGATGCGCCATTTGATAGGATGAAACTCTTTTGAAGATGAACCGACATCGAATAATTTGCTTATACGCTTCTTAATCAAGTAAGCATTATCGATTTTGATCGACAAATGGCGGAGAAGTCAATTGAATAAATCGTATAAATTTTCAATAAATCTCAATATTGATGAAATTTGCTAATAAATTAGCTTGATTGAATTGTTGACTAACTGTGAAATATTTTCTCTCAATTTTTGACATAACACCTTAATTATATATTTTTGGGAAACAGCCCATCGCATTCCATGAAATCGATCAAAATGGACGACGCTACTTTTTTTTATTTAAAAACTATGCAGTATGTGCAACACCAGATCGACCCACATCTGAATGTAACCGAAGGATTAAGTTCACAGCACTTGTTTTGTTGTAAATTCCAAACATGATTTAATTTGATGAGATGTGAAAACATAAAAAGTGATCAATAAATTCATCTCTGCCACAAATAGTCGCTTGCATAAGAAGTGCGGCGAATTTTCTTGATGAGACACAAACAAAAAAACGCGATAAGCGTGTCGACATCTTCTACAAAACTATACATATTCATGCTGAAAATTAATACTTTTTCGTCTTTTTTATCACTCGCAGAAAGCGTTCGCTTTTGAGACAACTTCCATAAGTCGATAAAGCCAATAAATGCATGTTATTTAATCGAAACAAATCATATATCGAAATATTTAAGCTATTTCTAATCTCTCCCATGTCGGTCGATCATCGTGTGGGTCTTTTTTTCTCATTTTAATGTGCCGATAAATAAAATGGAATGCAATATGCGCCACGGCATAGACAATAGATGGAGGAATCATGAAACGATGTGTGATAGTCAATATAGCCTGTCGATATCGATGCAGATTTGCAACAATCTACAATGTCATTTCGAAGATAGAAAAAAAATTGTCGTGCAATAACGTCAAATGTTGATATTATCTATGCTCGCTGGCAATTTTCATCATTCCAAAACAATAAATGTCGATTTTCACATAATCGATTGAAAATACCGCAGAATTGCCAAACCAACTTCTTTCATTTGTTTGCGAATGAATCAATCTAATGAAACGCAGTTTGGTTTTCGTAAAATTCTTCAATTCATTAGACTTGTATTGCTTGAAATTGTGATGCATGCAACATTTATATTTGATGCATTCTTACATAATCCATAAGCACACCATTGTATAGGCATTAATAATTCATAATTTTTTTTCTCTCTCTCCATATCTCGATGTCCATAAAGAATGGTGAAAGATTATGAATTCAGCCTGAGGCGATTCTCTTTTCTTTTACTTTCCGTTTAAATATCGTTTTTGTGGCTATCCTCTGGAGTATAATAAATTAAAAATGCACACACATTTACCTGAATTTGCCAATCGATCGATCGATCGATCGTTCAACATGTAATAGAGAGTCAATTAGTTTTGACCCAAACAATAAATTCATTCAATTTCAACATAAAGCTATTATCACAAATACACCGTAGGAACGTGACCTACAGCAATTTTATTGTTATTAACAACGTTATGACTCAATCAATCGTAAATTTTTTAATTTTTTTTCTAACACACTTTTAAAAATGTTTCACTAGATGGCGCCACGACTACGTGATCATGTGCATGGTCACAAAGTTTCGAAGTTGAAAGTATAAAATGGAGGACGGTGTGTATATTTCCTTAGTTGGGTGTACTGTTCAATTCAACTGTGCAGCGATCTCTATATGTGATCTTGTGTGGTTCAGTTATTCGATGAAATTTGAATAATTTGAAACTGACTAGGTTCGGCTTAGTCCTCGAATGAACAAAGAATAATATTTTTCTAATCATTTACCAAAACAAAACCTAAAAAATGTATTATTTTTTTCTCGCATTCAGTGATTTTGTCAAATGAATCCATCGGTATAATCTTACGCATCCCACTGTTGATATGCTAGAAGAAAAATCCGAGTGCAAAACAAGGAAATCGTCCGCCTATGCATTTTTGCATCGTGAGAACCGTATGTTTCACGCTACTCATATTCAAAAAAAATATCTATCTGAGACCCTTCAATGTCATCAAAAATCGATATGTTTTACTCAAGCATCCTGGGAAGAATTTTTTTTTTTGTAGACAAATCAAAATAATAAATGTATCTCTCGTTTTTTTTATTTTCATTATAAAATTGGTTTTATTTTCCATTTTGTCTTAATTGTAATTTGTTTTAAACAAGTTTGTTTCTTATGCACTATGTCTTGCTGAATCGATTCGTTTTTTTCGTGGCTGTTCTCAATTTAACTTAAAATGTATACGATGCAAGTGAGAAAAAAACGGTCATGTGATTGAAATGGAATGGCTGTGGCTTAAATACAATTAATCACAAGTCAACAAGCAATGTTTTTTGCTAAAAAAGTACAATTTTTTTGATGATCTAAATTATTTTTCTATGGTGCAATATTGAAATGGGAAAATAAATAAGATGTGTGCTTGATTATGTTGAGAAACTGGCATGATGAACAGCAACAATATTCAAATAAAATCGATGATGACTACAAAAATGGTTTCCTAGTAAATTTTGAATATTCTCGCGCTTTCTAAAAAAATACAATAAAACTTCCTTATCTCTAATAATACTAATATGGACGAGACAGTATTTAAATATTTGTCTTCTAAGGCAATTTAAATTTTAGGAACCAATTAAATTCTCTCTTACAAACTATTTACAAAATGACATTGATTTTCTTTTTCTTTTTTCATTACATATTTTCGTCACTTTTGATTCACAGTTTGTTTAAACAAAAAGGAAAAATCATGAAGAAGGGAGAGACAGACACACACACACACACACACACACACACACACACACACACATAGAGAGAGAGAGAGCATACGCGAAAGAGACAAAAATGCAATATAAATCTGTTTAAATTTATCAGACACACATTTTTCCTTTTGATGAAAAATTGCCGAAAATTAACAGAATTTTAATTTTATATATTTGTGTGTGAGAGTAAGATATAGATTGTAATTTTCAATCATTTTTATGATTTGAACGAAAAAAATCAAAATGTCGTTTTTTTTGTTTGTAAAATAAAAATTTGAAATTTAAGGCAAAAAATATATTTGGCATTTTCAATTTTTGCTATGAAAAAACATCATCATCATTCATCGATTTCAAGCATCATATTTAAGCTAAACATACATATAAATACTTAGAGCTTTATATCACAGCGGCTAATAGGTCTAAGTAAATAGCAATTGGAATTTCACTAATTACAATTATTATCAAATCATGTGTTCCAAACTGGCAACACTACTACGCGAGAACAGCAATTGATTTCATCTGGGCACATTTTTTTCATCTTCCTCAATCATAACTAACTTCCTTTTTTGCATATATAAATTAAAATGTGTCGACCCAACATAAAACGTATCACGACCTATCTACTAAAATAGTAATAAATTAAGTGAAAAAAATCTGCATATCGATCAAACCCGTATGCATTCGTTGATATTTGAGCGGAATATTAGAGAATGTTTGCGATGAATAAAAATACTTTGATTTAATACTGTCGCGACAGGAATGGGTTGGACGAAAAGTGATTTCTTTTTCAATTATGATGATTGAGATTGTGTTGATGGTGTGACCGTTGTTGTCGTTGATGCAATCGTTGTTGCTTCACTTTTATTCAATGTTGTACTAATCTTTCGATGATTTCGAAACACATTTATTTCACTTGGTCTCAAAGATGCTACGGTTTGCTTACGGTTTTTCTTATTATTTCGGTTTCGATTTTGTTTGTGAAAACCGAGACGAGTCCGATGTTTTAGGTCAACATTGTGATGCCTCTTTGTTGGTGTGATACTGTCGTCAATATCATTTTCGTGCTCATTTGGCACTTGGTCAATCGGTTTGATTTCTTTCGGTACCATCGCAACAATTGTGGCATTTAATTTGTTCTTCCTTTTCAATGGTGGCATTTGATTTTTTTTCGCCTTTTTACCAATGTGATGATGTTGTTTACCCATTCGATTTCTGAGCACCGTTTGCAATCCATTCAAATATTCACCAAATCGAATTTTCGCAAATCCATTATCGATTTCATCGACTTCGTCAATGTCATTCGTTTTATCCGTAATAACTTTCATCGTATTATTATTGTTACGGAACGTCAATCGTTTGTGCATCGCTTCTTTTGTCAGGATCATTGGCATTTTCATGCCCGTATTATTGATGGCGGTTTCAATTTCACATAGCAAATTCTTTGCCAGAATTAACAAATACTCCAATGCACGCGTTTTATTGTTGTCTTCATTGCGAATCATATCGTGGCGGAATTGCTTCCATCGCAAATATTGGAATGCGCCGACATACACTTGTGTCTCAATGTGACGCTTTCGCAAATGGATCTATTCAATGAAAAAAAAACAGAGAAAAATATATATAAATTAGTCAGTGTTTGAAAGTCAATGTCTAAATATCAAAACAATATATCTAGGTAGTATTAGCGGATTTCATGCCCACTGGAAACGGATCAAATGCTAATGCTTGCTACTGAAGTTTACATCTTAAAATGAACACACAAAAAAAACACATAACTAACAACAATTTATCTGATGTGAACCGTGGCGTTTATGTTATTACAGACAATTACTGAAAGAACCCTTTGATTTATTGTTTAGAATAATGTTCATTCATGCTTGGCTGTCGGGCATTTTAAACAAATGCACCCGCAGCGTGTAAGATCATTTTCATTTCTCGAAGTCGCGTATTTGCTGACGTTAAATTCAAATATTATATTTCCTCAAAGAAAAAATGCACTCAACATTGGGTAGGCAGACATTGAATTGTCTATCTTAACATATGAGTGTGTGTCTCAGTCTCATTTAAGATGCATATTCAATTGTACATTGCTACATATAAATTAATATCAACCACGTGCTAAAGACTTTGTATACACAATCAACAATGAATTCAAATTGAAAAAAAAAAAAGAAGCAAATAAAAAACAATTTCGTGCCGCGCATAATAAAGACATCACTCACCCTTTTATGTTGAATGTTCGTGATTATAAATCGAAACAACATATACTCACAACATAATTGTGAAATTAACATTCTTTTATTGCACGCGATATATTTGTATGTGTACTTGTTTGTGGGCCGATTGGCAGATTGTTGCTGCAGCGACTACTTCTTCTTATTCAATGAAAGATCAAGCAGTTTGTTAGAAAGGAGAACAAAAAAAATGCGTTTGATTTGCGCTGAGCACGAATCACACATACATGTCTTGATGTGCCATTCGATACAAATCATATCATACGGGATTTTTTTTGCTTACTGTATAAATAAATATTCACCCCGCAATCAAAATTGACGGCGAAAACAAATGACATGTTTTGCTCTCATGCGTTTGCGTTTGTTTGAGAAGTAGATGAAGACGAAGGAAAAATGAAATGGTTTTTTTTTTTACAATTCGCAAACAATCAATATAACTCTGAACTGGCTGTGTGGTTTTTAACGAGCCGAAAAACACACACACATACATACAGCGTTGAAATCAAGCGTTAAATTGTTATGTCGTGTCAACAATTTCTTCACTTTGAGTCGCGAACGGATCCTAGTGCGGCGCGCGAATGTACTCTGTGATTGTAATATCATTATTATTGGCCTGCATTGAATGACTGTTGTTTAGATTTATTTACTACAACACCAGTGTGCTTTTTTGTTGCTTCTTCTTCTTTCTGCGCTGCTAATTAGCAAGAAATAAACATTGCGTTTGTAGTGTGTTTGAAAGCTGAGCATACACACGGCTCAGCAAAATGCAACATTCACAGCAATACCATTGCTCACACAATAATCGACAAATAGTAAACGAAGAAGATCAATTTCATTTCCGTCACTCACTCGCTCGCTCACACGCATTATAGCAGAACCCATGTCAATAGCTTATAGTATGTTTCGAGCACTGTGTGTGCAACTGCAAACAGGACATAAACACTTGTGTTATGTACAACAAATCATAATAACTATGAATTACAGTGTACAAATCGTATAGCATAAGGAGAGGAAAAACGAAGTAGAAAAAAAAACTTATTATTAAAAACAATAACACACACAACAAATGAACACAAATCGTGCGATCGTTTGCAATTTCTCATTTCAAATCACACATTTCGCTCTGTTTCATTACTATTATTACTTGTTATTATTAAACATATTTTTTTTGCTTGCTTCTACTTTATCGCTTCAATTTCTATAATATTCGTGTCCCGTTCGCGGCGGCGAAGCCCTCAACTTGTGAGTTATACGTGGCCAGCAACTGTAGCCATAAATGCAACGAGATCAACTTGAAATAAGATTTAAACAGCACAAAAAAAAGAGATACAGAAATTCTAAACGGGATTATAACAAATGTGTCGATTTACCGAATGAATTTGATGGCATCGCCAGAGATATTAAACAATATTCACCCACCAACGCGATACACATTTCACTTGACACACCATTTCACATACATTTATTTATGCATCTTTGCTTCTTCCGACGGCATGTGCTAACATTTTTAATCGGTTTAAATTGTAATTGCAGTGAGCTCAAGAGCTTGTTAGACTGATTTTCGATTGTTTCCTTCTATATTCTTAATTCGTATTCGTTAATAATCAGAATAATTTTGCCATGATTTATATGATCCGATCAAACTGATCATAGAAATTTATGTGATTTTTGTTTTGTTCATGCAGCTCCTGATCTTGTGAAGTGAACTAATTACGTTAACAATAAAGTGCTGAGCACATAAAACTGATCTGATAATCGTTTCTTGTTCGCTGTTGATATGAAGACAACCGCAACTGTGGACAACAATATCAATCTGTCTAATAATAAATTTAACCATCGTTTCATAGTGAGATATCATACTTTATGTTCTTGTTCGTTGCTGCTGCAATTCTGCTTGTCAGCAAGAACTTTGTGAAATGAAAATGAAAGAAGAAAGACTGATTGCTACAAGCAAAGAACATGACGTATTTTATGAAAGCTATCTGAGGATCAATGTCAATGGCAATATGTCGTACTTAAATTACCGAAGGCACTTAAAATCGTACCGAAATCAACAACACACACACAAACACAACATCGAATCAATGTGCAAATCTCCACTTTTCTCTTCCAATTCATCCAATGATAGATATTCTTTAATGGGCATAGCACACACACACAACATCACTTCTAATTGTTAATGTAATAAGAGAATTAGAATATATACTTACATTGGATATTGATGCATTGATTTGTGCCAAGAATGAGTATGTTGAATTGAATGGTTGAGAGAACCATCGTGAGACGTCATCCGTGCTGATGGCCTGCGAGCGTGGTTCATTTAATCGATTTATGTAATTTGGCAGTTCGTTTCGTAATCCTTTCAGTGGTTTTACCTATGTGGCGAGAAAAAAGGGGAAAATAGTTGAAAAATTAAAAAAATTGTCATGTCGATTGAACTGCTGTGCATTTGGATGGAAAATTGCGAATTTTTAAAAAATGATTTTTTGTAAATTTCACTTACCGTTCGACTTCGGTGAATGCCGAATGTGTCATTTTTCGTACTGGATCCGCATGAATTACTCCATGCGACTTTGCTTGGACGAAAGACATCATTCTCCACTGATCCATGGCGCCTGTGTCGTCGCATTTGTGGTGCACCGTTTGCAAAACTAAGTGCCAATACGATTGCAACAACGATTGTTGTTAAATCTGAAAATAAAAAAACACACTAATTTAGTTTAATTGAATTTAAAAGAGCTCTTAAAAATAAACATCTAAACAACTGAAGTTTCAACGATAACAAATGGCAAATCATGTAATTCCAGGTTTTTTTTCTCATCCGTATGGATTTTCCAATTTTACGATAGCACGAGCAATTGAAAAAATAAGAATATATCTAAAAAATTGATGCGATTCGCGGGGTATTTTGAACGTTAAATTCTAATTTCTAGCGGTAAATAAAAGTGAATTTCATTGTGAACATTGACAGGTAATTTGCATTGTTTATGATGATCACGTGTACGTATTAAAAAAAACAGAATCCATTCTCAGATGCACAATGTTTTGAAATATCTAATTCTCATTTGCCGGGCGAAAATCCCCGATTCCGTCTCAAAAACGTAATAATCTTTTTTTACTACACAATAATTCAAGAAATCTAATTACATTAGAATCGAATTCAGTTTAAATTGTTCGAGCCATTGACGATTCGCTGTCGTTCAGGCAGACACAGCAAACGAATCAAAACATAAAGATTCCACGTTTATGCAAGTGAAAACAAAAGCGAAATGAATAAGTTGATCCGTGTGTTTTTTCTCTCTCTCGTATCAATTAGTCATCGTCTCATTCTGTGTTACATTACATTGGATTCAACGTGATGCGGTTTACGACAGTAATCAGTTGCATGTATACGGATAAAAAAAAATACAAACGTGAGATCTTTGCTTGTAATTATACATCGGTTTGTTCGCTTGATATCGTACATACGGCGTTACGCAAACGATCATACGTTTTAAAGCACACACACCACGAGAGAGAGAAAGATGTAGATCTATTACAAGTAGACTCTTTTAGAAGAGAATGCATATCCGTTCGCACGCAATATGTACTATGAATGCGAGCTCATTCCAACACTTACATGCAATTAATATCGACCTACGATTCGCACTTATTGTTGTTTCATTTTAACTTTTTTCAACAACTACAAACTTGCAATTTGGAAATAACGTGCGCTGTGCGCATTTACAGGCAAAAATGTTGTTGTATTGTAAATAAAGTGATAACAGTTGCAAACATAAGCAAATAACAACAACAATTCGAAGTGAGAAAAATTCACACGAAGACATCGAGATGATTTCATGAATGAAACTAGAGCGACGCTTGCAAAATATAACAGTGTGGTCCACTGCAACGATATTTCATCTCTCTATCGAATTTCGATATGAACTCACTAATATAAATATTATACAAAACGTTGCTTGTTGTCGGCAGTAACAACAACCAATACCTTCGTTTGAATTGTGTGCGCTGTGCGCCTCTGAATGAAACAAAAACACAAACTAATCATTTTAAAATGTAAGCAAAAACGATGAACCGATAAACAAATCATATGGTTTGCTCTCGATTGCTTTGTGTCTGGAATATTAATAGCAATATATACAATCTGAAACGTTTAGACTTTTATTGATATGATAAAAACCATAGAATCGTTTGATTTTTTTTTTTTTTTCATGCGATGCCGCCAAGGGAGTTGCACGGTTTTAGGATATTGCATTACAATTAAGTTGGCGTTAAGTTTCGGGTGTTACAAACACATCAAAACATTCTCACGCATCAACGGGACCGAAATATCGACTTCATCATCGTCGACTGGTCAGCAATAATTGACGATTTAAAAGATAAACATGAGTTACTGAATGAAGAAAAAATATACAAAATAATGGTAATTTTGACGGTTGAATGGCTGAATGACAATTTTGTTTTGACAATTTGGCGCCGATTCATTAATAAATTTGAAGAGAATATGGTGTTCAAACGTACTAAATTGACAGTTTTTGTTGTGTATACATTTTTAGCGAAAAAAAAAATTATTTTCGGAAGAGTTTAACTATCAGAATAATTGTCAGAAGTGGTATGATAACCAAGAACAATACCTGAAACGTGCGCGATGATAGTGAGAGGCGAGTGACAAAAAAAACCATCAACTCATGATGATTCATTTATTAATGACATATTCGAATTTCATCACAAAATAGCACGTTGCTAGTATACACTTGTGTGTGGTTACATTCAACTCTCTCAATTTTGGAGAGTGTGTGATTCAAATCGTACAAATATGAAAGCGTATAAACTGGGCTGGACACAAAAATAAAGGTTTAAAACAATGACAGAAGCAAAATGAAAAAAAAAATGTACAAAACTATAATAGAGTAATTTTGGGCTGTTGAATGATTCATTAAATCGAAAATGTCAGGTAAAATTAGCGAATCAACGCTGATTAATTGTGCCGGTATTTTGTCTTGTATTTGCCGACGGACCACAATAATTTCGTTGAACGCGCCTGGCATGATTGTACACGATTTATCATGAAATTCAGTTGGAATAAAATATAGAAATAGAACTAGTACACAATTAAACTAAAAAAAAAACTTAAAATCTATATGAATGAAACAAACAGATTGCAAAAAATACACACACCGCATCTTCTTAGCTTCACTGGTACACAAAACGATTTCCCAATATGATCAATGATGAAAAACTTTATTGATCCACTGGTCACAAGAAAAAAAAATATTTTTTTTCGATTTTCTTTCGGTTTGTTTTTGATAGCTCACTGTTTTTCCGATCTGTTATTTTTTTTTTCAATTTTTGAAACTTTATTCGTTTCTCGTCGCAGTTTATTTTATATTTCGTTCACAAAAATTTGGTCTTTAATCGCATAATTTTCACATAAAAAATGTCATAATATTAAAATAAATAATTGAATTTAAAATAAAAATCTCTCAACGATAATTCGTCGTTGTCGTTATTAATTGAAATAATGGGACGGACAAAATTCACAAAAAAACAAATACTATTATTCACAACCGGTACATAGTAAAAACAATTTGCACAATTGCCGATATATAGGACGAAGGCAGTGAATTTATTTTAATGGAATTGAACACAACCGTTCGGATTGATGGTTTCGGTGAGAATATTGTAATGATACGAAATTGAGAATCGTACTTCAGTTCACACCACACAAGAATTATTTGTTTGAATGCAAAAGAACCGACAAATATATAGATTTGATTTTCGTTTGTGTGTCTTGTGCTGATTGAGACGTGCTAACGTGACAGTGTTCGAAACTAAACTGAGTCTGATTTTATACAATTTCGTTCAAAAGCCCATAAACTAAAAAAGATTCTGCATTTAGAGGCAGCAAGGTGTCTGTGTCTTCTCTTTTACTTATGTTTTTTTTTTCGTTGTTCATTCGTACGAAGCGCTGTGATTTGTTGTTGCCTCTTTCGCTTTAGTGTCCGATTCGTGGTGTGCGCAATGCGTTTGTGTGTATATTGGTTGCATACATGTATTTGCTTTTCATTCGGTTTCGTTTGTTTTGCCCTTTACCGAGATTCGTACAAATGCGATCGTGTGTGCGGAAAGCTATGGATCACACGCACACTGAATGTTTCTTTTCCTTTCTCGCTCATTCGTTCGTGTGTCTTTTGCTTTGTCTTGTTCAGATTGAGCGAACAAAAAAAGGAATAAAAGATAGTCGAGAGAAATTTATTCGTTCGTAAACGTTCTTTGGGGTGAATGAAAAGAGTCACATTCAAATGAATGTTAGAGAGAGAGAGAGAGAGAAAGAGAGATGGAAAAAGAGAGTGGGATAGGACTAGTACTACTGATCAAAATGCAAAAGCGTGAGAGCAATTGCACATGGCATCAGTAAGTTCAATGCATATCGATGAGTTTCATTTTGAGTCATAGCGATACACACACAACGGTTGTGTGTTCTGTTGATGCTGATGTTTGGCGTGAATCAGTTAGTTTCGCACTTTACAAGCTTATACAATATATACACGGACACTTAAATCGTCCACACTGAATTCGTGTTTTTTGGTGACAGAGAAAAATAGAGACGGCCCAAACTCACTCACACACACATACTCAAACACACGCATCAAATTCATAACATCTTCAAGTGGCATAATGAATATATGCATATTCATTTTTTGACCGATCTACAGGCGGTCTATGTCCATACTATATGCTTTTTTTATCGATTTAATGTTTATCACACATTTTTTTTCGCTTCATTCGTTTGCGTTCACCGTTCGTCAGCCATATAACACGTGAACTCTTTTGTTGGCGTTACTGTTTATTACATGCGAAAAGTGCAACAATCAATAAAGAACCGATTTTAATCCGATAATCACTTTAACGACCAATAAATATATGGAAAACATTTACATACACACTCTAAACTGTTCGAATCCAAAAATAAGCATGCAAAATAAAATTGGGTTCCATGCTAATTTACATTTAAACAAACAACTCTTTCACCACTTTCTATCGATGACGATCGTTGAGTACAATGACTTACGATGGGTCAGAGTTTTTGACCTGACGGACTTGAGTGGTCAGATTGACTCCCCTTATACCTGATTGGACAATGGCTTGAAAAAATTCTACCTTTACGGATGAACACTTTTTTCGGCACATTTTCTAATTAATCCCTCTCTCCCCTTAATAGCTTTGACTTTTGCTACCTACCTTAAATGGTAATTAATAAAATCATCAAGGTTATAAAAATTAGGTTAATATCTATTTATAAATACAATAGAACGGTCATTTCATAAATTTGTGAAATTCTAATGATTTTTAGTCATTTTTATATGACCATATTTTTTGGTCAAAAAAATATTTTTAAACAATCGTTAATGGATCTGTCTATTTTAAGAACAAAACTATTGAGTTAACCAAATGAAGTCGAAGTCATGCAAATAAAAACAGAAAGTATCTCTTGTGTATTATTCGCCAGCACCGTATTAGTCATCTTTTCATGTTACCCAATATTATTTTTTTGGCCACTTTATATAGACAGCTATTGAAGCACATTGAAGGTCTATTATATTACATTCCACCAGCAGTGGCGGGAAACAACATCACGCAACAATTTCCAAGAAATATTTATGAATTTCGGAGAAATGTGTATGACGAAGAATTTGCTTTTTATTCGCGTTCTTCATATTACTCTGCAGCAATAGAAAAAAAAGATAACAGAAACACAATACAAACGATAAAAAAACACAGCTACAAATCATATATAATCAATAGTGGAAGTGACGTTGTTGTTGTTTTTTTTTTTGTTTCTGTTTTTCAAGCGGTTACAGGCTAATTGATGAATTAGTCATCTACGGCGGCAACGTCATACGGCAAACACAAAACGATGACGATGCTGAGAATGCCTAGCTCTTTCGGAATGAACATATGTATAAGCACAAATAGACTCTCTTGTCAATGAACAATGACGCGTAGTCGATTTTATGAATGAAATATATATACTATGTGGCGCGTATACCGCGCGTGTGCTCAACGGAACAAAAAAAAGTATCAAACTCAAACGCGTTTGCATACACACTTGTATTTGATTCGCATACCATACATACGCATTGCTATCGTTTACAATTGTTATACTTTGATAGAGTTCAATCGTATAGCCTATATTAGTAGATTTCATGACTAATTCAAGACAACCAACAGAATTGAAATTTCATTATTATCACAATAATAAAGTGGTTCAAGTGAAGAGCAATTGATTAGAATTTTGAAAAAGTTTAGATGCCGTCATGCCTCCAAAATATACAGTGCAAATAATATACATCACTATAGTTGTTATCGTGATACAGACAAATTGTCTGTTTTTTCATTTATTGTGGGGGAAAAGAGCGCCATGTAAATGATAAGTCAACGATAAAAAAAAGATATCAATTACATGAACTGAGCACACGACACGCGAAACGAACACCGAACGAATTTTGAAAGTAGAAAGAAAAAACGAAGTATGATTAAGCGATATTAAAATGACAATATCAATTGTAGTGTGTAGCTAAAAAATTAACGACATAAAAAGCGGCAAATCGTGCAGTCAGTGAGAAAACCCAAACACATGCAGCAATTTTTGTACGAATGACTAATATCGCATAGAATTTCCATTTAACAGTTACGCTTGATTAACTGACGCCACATTACTTAATGTTTTAAGCTGAGATCTGATTTTCCGGTTAATAAAATTAAATAATTTTGATGTAACAATCAGAATGCGTGACGATTACACAATGCAAAATAAACAAAAAAATCGTTTATTTTGAGTTTGCCGGCCTTTAAAGCATCATAGAATTTCCTATATTTTTTTTAAACACGTGCTCAAATACGAAAATATTTCAATTTGGATATCTTTGTTCACTCTCTGACACACAAATACAGACAGACATATGCAGTGTATTATTTTTTTGTAGCAAATTTTAATCGTGTTATTTAATGCTCTGTTGTGGTTTACACTTTGAACAAAATTTATTGAATCATTTATTTACAATCTGTGCATGAGCACGGACCCTCACATTCGACAATTGATTGGACCAATTTGTAAACATTTAATTTTTTTTCTCCCGCTGCTGTGCGGTTGCCGCTTAAAAACGGCATTTTTGTTAATAAATTTATTTGATCGTATCCATTCAGAGAACACGAAAGAAAACATTTTTATTTGTGAATTATTTATTTTTTTTCTCTCTTAAAACCGATGCAAAAGAGTAAAAATTTCACCGTTTTGAACGGATGCACATAATATTGAATGCGATGCGAAAATACATGGCGAGAAATTACAAACTGAATTGAATGAAAATACAATGGGGAGACATATACGCAAACTAATTGAGTCAATAAATCAATTTAAATTTTGTAGCCAATAAAAAAGCCATGGTAACGAAATAAAGCGCGCGCCAGCCAGAGCATACATAATTGTGATTATGATCCGCAGTGATCAATATTAATTGGCATATATTATCGAACAGGTGATTATCGTGTATATTTATATGCACATATCGCGTCGTATATCGTATGATCATTTTCCAATTGGGTTTTTCACCATCAATTATGCTCGCCTTGCGCATTTGTTATTTGTTCACATTTTTTTTCTCTCTCTTCTCATGTATGCATTCAAATATACTAGGTAGTTGCATTTTTGCATCCATCGATGGATTGTTATGCGCGATCACTGGCTGGATCGGGATATTAATGATGTAGAAATCGCAGGGTGCGTGTGAGTTCACTTGCTGTGCATTGCACGCGGACAATGTGTATTGAGGCGCAAGCGCGAGAACTCGAAATTCAGTCATTTTATTCCAATCGATGTGCAGCGAGAGAGAGAGAGAGAGAGAAAGAGAAATAAGGAAACCGGCAAAGCAATGTATGCTTCTTTAACATATTATTAACACTAATTTAATAGACTCATGTGGTTTTCGTATGCGCGATCGCGTACATTTAATTGATGTTCTTCCCATTCATTTCTCCACTTTCCGACACTTTATTACATCCTTTTTTAAACTGAGCTATCATATGAGTATCGGTGACATACAAGAAAAAACAAAACCAAAATTGATTTCTAATTTCAGTATCAAATGAGCACAAGTGATTTGTAAGTTGGAATTAAATGACTAATAATTGATTTATAATTGTTGAAATATCACCGCTAAACGCTACTTAAAAACGACATAAAATCAATAAAATTCACTTACACTTCATTGTTGAGTTTTTTTGATTTTTTTTTATTTGTCACAACACCAAACTTAATGCAAACACACGTCGTGATATATGAACTAACTTTTACTTTTTTTAGCTAAACTTTGTTTCGATCATCAATGAGATCCATTCATTGAGAAACTTGAGCAATGACTATGTCGTTGATAATGCTGTCACAATGCTTATATACGCTGTTCTAAGGTGAGACATAGCAATCGGTCTTTCGTACGGTGTTTGTTCTTACATTTGTATACATTTTTTTACTCCTTATTGCACACATTCTTTCTCCTTCGCATATTCGCCTCGTTATACAAACGAAGCCGACCGACCTCTTAATGTGTATGTGCGTGTGTATGTGTGTTGTGATTGCCATCGTTTCATCATCGGCACAAATTTTGCATCCATTCGCATAAACTGATACAATTTTTTTTTGCCAATACTTTGTTATAATTTTGCACATTTGTTTATGTGATTAAATGTATATACGAAAAAAAGAAAATCCCCGTAAACTGTTTACATATGACACACATTCCGATATTGACTAAAATGTTAGCC